CCTACCTAGCTACCTACCTAGCTAGCCACCTAGCTACCTGCCTGCCTGATACGTACTTACATACATACATGCCACCTGCAGACCTGCTGGCACACCTACATAGCTACACGCCACAAACCTACCAGCCTGCCTAACTACCTACATACCTACATAGATACATACACACAACTACATATTTTTTATATGCACACATGCATACACACATAAATAAATACATACATACATACATACATACAGACAGACAAACAAACAAACAAACAAACAAACAAACATACATACATACATACATACATACATACATACATACATACATACATTACACACACACACTCACACTCTCTCTCTCTCTCTTGATCTCCATGTGTATATATATATATAGATGTATGCATGTTTACTTTCCTACGGTCATCACATAGATAAACATGAACACACACTCTTTCTCTCTATACTGTGTATAAACAATAGATTCTACACATATATGTATATATATATATACATAGAAGCTGCTTTATGTTCTGGAATGTCGTGGCTCCAAGAAGAGTCCGGTACGAAGCTTGTTTATGCGCACATGGCTTCGCCAGTCTCAGATGTCTGTGCAAGAACCAGATGGGCTGATTGCCCGGGTAAGAAAAATGCGCTGAGCATGGGGCTGACGTGTGCAGCTGCTACCCCAAGCCATGACCTGACTATAGCCTAGCCGGACAGCTAAATTCCCTTCGTTGACTTTTAACGTGGAAGGAGGAAAACATTCGTGAATATGGAATAGTGACCTAGAATGACCATCGACGTATGCAACTGTACGCATCACACGTCAGGCTTGTCTCAGCCACTCATATTCCAACGAGAGGCGCTGGGCGTTTCGTGTCACGCGCTGATGCGACATGTTGCGCCACGGCGTTCAAGTCCAGTGCGTGGACAGCAGCAAAATCAGATCGGTTCGTTATGGCTGCCACGACCTTGGGGCTTCAGGCTTCGGAGAGGCCACATAGCAACTTGACACTTCGAAAGCCGACAACCTGTCTCCTCACATTCTGCCTCGTACTTACTTGTTGTGCTTTTGCAGCAGCTGCTGCAATTCGTCCGACGACTCGTCGACGGATTGTCACTATGCTTTTGTAATCACGGCATCAGGCTCTTTGTTTTCCCTGCTCCGCGCTACAGCTACTCATCACCCCTCACGCGACAGGCTCTGTGAATAGGCCCTCCATGCACAATTCGAGTACGCCTCTTGTACATAAGAAGGCAATTACATTGAATCGTAGATTCGTCGCAACGAGGCATTAAAGTTATTGAAACGGAAGCTTGACGCAACTCACCCACGTTGTGATTGACTGAAGTTAACCTTGTCAGCCATATATAGAGTTCAGCCTACAGGGCCTACAAGACACGATTGTGGAATTGATTTTCGGTTTGACCAACCAGCCTCACCCGCAAACTCCAATTACCTAGATAGTCAAGCCTTTACGCATGCTGACAGACGCATGCCTTCATAAGCTGCTGCAAATGAGCACTGTCAAGCCGATACAACCCCACAATTCTCCAGGCTCGCGCTGATCCTCAAGCAGAGTCTTCGATCGAATAGCAAAGAGCAATAATAGTGGCTAGGGCCTGGTACGGGTTGGATAACTGAGAGCGGGGTAGCGGCACTATACTGCCGAGAACATGATGCTTCCTTCCTGTCTTGTTGTCCTTTTTTGATGGTTCATTTCATTGTGCTGCTTTGCGACTTGGCGGCTTCAGCAGTCGACTATATAGTCTACTCGTCCTTGCCCTTTCCAGAAACTTTCTTGTGTGCAAGATGATTGCAACGACTGATCAAGCCCGCACACGCCGGCAGAAACTCTCCCTGAAGACGACGGCCAAGCGAATGCTCCACAGACCGGGCCGCATCGGAGCGTTCCCGCACAAGCGCGTGGTGCCAGGCCGAAAGGCCCAAGGAATCCGTCTCCTCAAGTGGGAAAGGAGGGTGGGAAAGGGCGGGCTTTAGTTGACCTTGAGTTCAGTGACGATGGCGATGACCATGGTGGGCGGATGTGCTAATGGCGATGATGAGTGATGATGACCTTCATAAGCAGCATCACCATGAGCACCATCACCGCCACGGCTGAAAACAATCATCGCAATTAATTTTCGCTACCTGATAAACAACACAGGCCTGGCTGTTGTTGATCGTTGTCGTTATGCTTGCGATCGCGACGGCCGGACTGGTGGTGGGATGGCTGATTTTGAAGCTGCTCGGGGAGTACAGTGCAGCAGACATACGCCGTCGCCGCAGCATACCCAGACTATGGCGAGGCAAAACTAACTTACCCGGCAAGAGGGATCCAAGGTATCGTCGGGGCTTTGATACTGCGGCGGCTAAGACAAACAATCTCAGAGCAGTGTGATAAACCAGGCTCATATTTCTACATAATTCCAGAAGAATGTGGATCTACATGCCCAGGTTCCCCTTAACCCTCGACTCCTAGCTCGGTCTCTAAGAGATGGAACAGGAGGGGGCGGGGTCTGTACTATTCAAGTTAATGCCTCTTACTACGCGGGTTCGCCTTAATTAGGGGCTTTAGGGCTTTAAACTTTAAACAACCTTCGGGCCCTCGTCTAGTGCGGCCACCATGCATTGAGTTGCGTAAATTCATCGTGTCGAAGAATCTCAAAGGCAACCTGCATCAGAATGCGCATGGTAAGATTCTCTAGAAAGGTTCGACAGACTCTGAGGAGTGGATTGCTCCTGCCACTGAAGCAGCAGAGTACAGCAGCTGGAGGCGCTGTCGAACCCCAAGTTATATCGATTGGAGCTGTGTGCACCTCCATCTTTCTGATTACCTCGAATTAGCTCGGAGCTTTGACGTCCTGCCGTCAGCTGCAAGCTTCCTCCTTAACATGTGCATGAACACACCCTCCTGCGTAGAACCTATATCTATATGTATTGGTTCAAGCTAGCAGCTCGGTGCTGACTTGACTGGCCTCTGAGAAAGCAAAAATTTCAATAATGGTAAGACTAGATGATTAGATAAGATCTTGACGCTCCGCTGTCAACTTCGAGCTAAAGTCTTAAGCAGTGTGTCCTGCTGTGAGGCAGCCATGAAAGGGCCCAAATGGTTCATCTGCATGACAAGGGACTCTATCTGCCCAAAGTAGTGTAGGATCCCTATTAAATGGCATTGTAAGATGGATTCGACCGAGGATTCTTACTAAGGAAGCATTGCAGATAGTCGGAGCCTCAATGATGAGGAACCCATGAGTCGTGGCAGGCTTATAATAAGGAACCCTAAGCCTCCAGGTACCTACTATATAGGGCCCTAGGGGCTCTAGTACCCTATATAGTAGGTACCTGGGGGGTTAGGGGAAAACAAGGGAGCCCGGACTTTAACGAGGACATGTTTCAGCGATAGCACAAGAGAACCAAAGGCTGGACGCCATCTGCGAGCAGCTGGCGTATTACTCAGCGCCAGCGCCGAACACATGCGACTCTGGGGACGGGGCGGGGGTGAATTAATATCGAGAGCCGGAGGTTTGTGAATGAATATCATCCCTATTTGGTTCTTCAGATCTCTAGATTAAAGCAGCAAAGGCTAACCGCGCCTCCCACATCTGGTTCTTGATGGCTCGTATAAGCGTGGTGTCGCCCGTGGTCTGGGCAAGAGGGCCGGCAAATCTTGCCGTCAAGGTCATCATGATGTGGCATTCATCTTCGTGCTGTGAGTTCAATTTCCTCCTGTCACATCGGTCAGCTGCACTCCAGGTACGTGCTCTGCATGGACTCCTACGCAAACCCGAATTGCTTGGACCCGAAGCCACCAACATCGAGACAAGATATCAGCCGGAGACTCCAGGGGACAATAGCTTCTGGCCATAACCCTGGGTCTCGAGCTCCCAATAATAGCTGATGGTAAATTTTGGGAATATTGAAAGATCCACCGACAGCAGCACTTGCGTGGCCAGGGCTCCAGTCTTTCGTTCAAGCCCACCACCGTGTCTTCTCTAAGGAGGCGCATGGCCTGGTGCTATCAACATTGACGCAGTCAGACCCACCTATCCCCTAATTTAATGTAGCATGGCTGTTGGCCCTCACAAAGCTGGCAGGATCTGCGACATCATCCTGACAACTGAACAGACGGAAAGCAAGCTCATGCTGTTTTCTGAAGTACGGGGACTCCCATGACTGCTATCGACTCGCAGGACAATCGACCCAATAACCCACTCGCTAAGACAACAGGTGAAGGTTGATAGGGCTCGAGTGGAACCGACTTCGGAACTTGCGTGTGTGGGCTAGTTTAGGCTTGGATCGATGCGCCCTTGGAGGTTGTGGCTGGCTTGTGAAGTGTTTTTTTTT